TCTCTGACTTCTCAATCCTACACACAGTCTCAAAATCTTTGCAGATGTGATTAAGGATTTTGTGATGGAAAGATTTTCCTGGACTATCCAGGTCACCCTTAAATGCCATTACAAGTTTCCTTAAAGACAGGGGTAGAGGGAGAGTCAACACTGACACACACAGAAGAGGCAATGTGATGATGGAAGCAGAGATTGGAAGGATGTGGTCACAAGCCAAGGAATGCCAGCAGCCACCAGGAGCTGGAAGAGGCAAAGGAATGAATTGTCCCCTGGAGCCTCGGGAGGAAATGTGACTCTGTTCCACATTGATTTTGCCTCACTGCTACTGATTTGGACTTGTGTCTCCCGAACTGTGAAAGAACAACTTCCTATTCCTTTTAATCATCCAGTCTGTGGTGATTTGTTACAGTAGCCACAGGAAACTGATGCAGTGCCTGACACTAAGCCATGTCAAGCTGGACCAAGGAACACACAGGTTCCACTGGAAGCCATTGGACAGAAACATAATGAGATATTCAGAACAACCTTGTGGAATATCACACTGCATCTCCCTCTGGATCAAACACATCAATGATAAGCAAGAAAGCATTTTTAGGTGATTTTAAGTTTCTTCTTTATTTAAAAAAAAAAAAAAAAGTATTTTTGTGGGTTTTTAAAAACTTCTCCAATCATAAAACTTTTTTTTTTTTTTTTTTTCCGCCACTTAGTACTTCTTTCTTGCCTCCTTTACTCCATATCACGATGCTGTCTACCTGCTGATGAAGGAATCTTTTCAACAGGAGCTGGAGGGGTTGGGGGTTAGAAGGAAAGTGGTTACTGGTCAAAAGGAGAAGTCCATTTGCACAAAAAATATAAACCTGGAGGATGAGACCAGCACATACATGTATGGATTGATCTACAATCCATGTTTAAAAAAAAAAAATAGATCCAACTTGTCATTTAACCATTTGTAATATCATACAAAATAATATATATCTATTTTAAACAACACATACCCAACTACACACACACACACTCACACACATACATACAAGGTGCTAGTGGCCCCACTGCAATTTCTGCTTGTCGGGAACAGGGGTGTCAGTAGGCGAAGATGACATGGTAGGTGACCTGGTGACCATTGTCCCAGGCATAGAGCAGGCGGTCCTTGGGGTTGTAGTCTATTTGGGTAGTGTAGGAATACTCATTTTCAAACAGCAGCCTAGGGACAATCTGAGTGTTGGTGTGGGTGTCGAAGGCATAGGAGATGTTAGCATTCCGCTGGTTGTAGCTGTCCACGGCATACAGCACCCCACAGATGACAAAGCAGTTGCCGTAGAAGTTACGCCGGAGCCCAGTGCGCCATGTGGTCTCCTTCTGCATGCTCAGGTCCATGGCATTGAGCTTGCTCAGGATGATGACCTCCTGGCTGAAGCCCTCATCGTCCAGGGCTGGGTAGATGAGCCACAGGCCATTCTCATCCACAGCAAAGTCCACGTCGGAGTGACCCTGCCACCTCCAGGTGGTGGCCTCTTCATAGGCCACATCATGGAGCATGGCCCAGGCGGCAACGTAGCGCTGCTTCAGGTCATACTTAATGATGTTGCGGGTAAAGGCCCGGTTGTAGTAGAAGGCCCCATTGTATACTACATGCCCCGTGCCGATCCAGTTGTACGGGAGCTTGTAGGAATTGCTCCAGCGACCTGTAAAGTGTGAGAAAGCAGGAGGCTTCAGGATAAGGCCACAGAGACAACCTGTTAGTGAGGTAAGGGGCAGCCTAGCAGGACAGAACAAGCAATTGACTAGGAGACTGTACACCTGGGTTCTTGTCTTGGCCCTGACAGAACCATTCTGAGTCTTAGTATCCTCATCTGTGTGAATACACATGAGTGTGGTTTGAAAATAGTCAAGGACTACGTGAAAATAAGATGTTTCAGTCCTACTGTGCAGCCCTTCTGGGCTGGATTATAGGCCATCCTATCAACCAGGGCTAAAAGAAGGGGCAGAGCTGAGAGATGAGAGAGCAGAGAATGTGAAAGTAGTAGAAGGGGGACCTTCCTCCACCAGGGAAAGTCATTTCACCATTGAAAGGTCTTTGCCCTTCTCATTTACTGTCACTACCAAAGAGAACTGGCCATGATTAAAACATAAGTCAGCTGTGAAGGGAAGAAGCCGCTGAGTTGAAACTATAACACGTACCTTGTTTGAAGTTTTCCAGGTTCCGGAATTCCACTAGTGTGTTGCCATAGTAATAATTGGTCACATAAATGCGCTCATCCTTAGCCAGGGGGTCCTTCATCCAGGCTCCTTCGTTCCGTCCATATGTGTTTTGGGTGGTCGGCCCAGAGATTGTGGAGAGGGTGTCTTTGCATCTTCCTGATGGTGGTGTAAAAAAGCAGTCTGATAATGTCTACTCCTGAAAACTTTGTTGGCTCCCCACCTAGTGTCTGAACTCTTTGGCAGACTGTTACAGACTTGTATAATCTGATCCTCCTCAAATGTTTCCAGTATTCTCTCCTGCTACTCCTATTATCCATCCTGTACTTCTACAAAGCTATTCAGCATCCCCATCCTGCGCTACTTTCAGGCCACCATCCATGCCTTTGTTCCTGCTGCTCTCTGACTTCTCAATCCTACACACAGTCTCAAAGATCTAAGATCCAAAATTCTCTCTCTTCTAACACCATAACTCCCTCTGAAAAGTCAACTGTTCCTTCTGTTTGCTCCCACAGTACTGTGTATGCACCTCTGTTACAGGATGTGTTGTCTTGTATCTCAAGGATTCTTGCTCATTTTTCCTGTCTACCAGGGTATAAGCCGCAGGGGAGCAGAGTCTGTGGCTTTTCCTCTTTGTGTTTCCAGTACTCACTCAGAGCACAAAGTGGCACACAGTAGGCACTGAGTACACGTTTGGATAGTTGGATGAATACATAGACGTGTGACTCGTGGTGAGGACTGCCTGGTGTAACCAGGGTCACCAGTTTCCACCAGGTTTTGGTGCTGCCACAAAGAGACTTGGCCCTGGGTTGTGTGGGCAATTCTGACTGCGGTGGAGATCCTCCACTGAGAGTTGGCTACTGGGTCCTAGAGAGCTGTCCTCCAGCTCATGGCTCTCTCACTACCTGGGGCAGGATGCCAGAGTCTCAGCTGGGAATCTGGACTGCAGGAGACCAAGTTTCCCACATCCAGGAGTTTATTCCTTCAAGGATCAAGTCTGCTTTTTTTTCACCCCTTTAAATGTTATTTTGTTGTTGAAAAGTGGAGTTGTAGGATAAGCACTGGACCACAAGGGTGGATTGAACAGCAATATCAGAGGTTGAAACTCATCAGCTGCTACTCAAAAGCCCTATACAGAGTCACTTTGAGTAGAACTGACTCAAAGGCACCTAATAACAAAACACGCAACAATTCCACTGTGTCTACATTACAATTTAGTGACACTGATTGCATTCAAGGTGTACAACCACTCTCACCTGAGTTATTTCTCCCCCAGTAATAAACTCTCTGCCCCCTAAGGCTTCTATCTAATCTTTTGAGTTGCTGGTGTCAATTTGATCCTGTATAGCTCTTAAAAGAGCATAATACACAAAGCAGACTTAAAAAAAAAAAAAACTAACTAAGCTAAACTATTGTTCAGTTTTAAGATGACTTCAGGGGATATTTTTGCTTAAGGGTTAAAGATTATCTCAGGGCATAAGTTTCAAGATTTCATTCACCCTCCATGGTTCCAGAAAGTCTAGAGTCTGTGAGAATTTGAAATTCTGTTTTGCATTTCCCTTTTTTTTGATCAGGATTCTTCTATGTAATTTCTGATGAAAATGCTCGATAATGGTAGCCAAGTGCCATCCAGGTCTGGTCTCGTGGCAAAGTAGGCAGTTGTTCATGGAGGCAACTAGCTACACATTCCACATTCTCCTCCTAATTCGGAATCTTTCTTCCTCTGTTGTTTCAGGTGAATAGAGATTAATTGTTGGTCTCATTGCAAGCATTTAAGATCCCAGGCACTATACAATGAATTAACCTAGAACAGAAGCACTGAACATCTTATTAGGCCCACTAACTGGGAAGTCTCATGAAAATAGGACCCTAATCCTCCAAATCACAAACATGAGGTGTTTGCTTGTACATAAGTAGCCTCAGCAGCTACTCCCCTCCTCCCCCACACCTTGTTGAAAGATATCGTCACACAAATTTTGCCAGTTCAACTTTTTACAGGTGTACAACTTATTGACAGTAATTACAATAATCAGCTGTGAAATCCTACCTTTGTAATCAACCCAATTTTACCATTACTGTTAACCCTTTTCCTCCCACCTTTCTGCCCCTGGTAACCTCTAATAAACTTTGGTTTCTATTAATATGTGTCCTTTTATGATTGGTTTAGTTTGCTCTTCAAGCTCCATCCATACTGTTGTTGTTGTTGTTGTCAGGTGCCATCGAGTCGGAACCGACTCATAGCGACCCCATGCACAGCAGAACGAAACAATGTCCGATCCTGGGCCAACCTCACCACCGCTGCCACACCTGACGCCATCAATGATGCCACCTGGCTGATCCATCTCATTAGGGGTCTTCCTCTTTTTCTCTGACCCTCCATCTGACCATCCATATTGTAGCATGTATCAAGACTTCATTTATCCTACTGCTGAGTAAGTAGTGTTCTATTGGATGTATGTACCACATTTTATTTATCCATTCATCTGATGATAGACATCTAGGTTGTTTCGACCTTTTGGCTATTGTGAAAAATGCTGCAATGAGCATTGGTGTACAAGTTTCTTTTTGAGTCTCTGCTTTCCAGTCATTTGGGCATATATTTAGGAGTGAAATTGCTGGGTCATATCTGGAATTCTGGTGTGATGCTGTAGGATAAGCATTGAATTGCTAACCACAAGACTGGCAGTTCAAACCTATCAGCTGCTCCTTGGAAACCCTATACAGGGTCACTATGAGTTAAAACGGACTCAGTGGCACTTAACAACAATAGTTTTGTTTGTAGTTTTTTTGAGGACTGTTTTCCACAATAGTTGCACCATCTTGCATTTCCACCAGCAATAGATAAGGGTTCCAATTTTCCCACATTCTCACCAACATTTTTTTTTTTTCAATCTTAGTCATCCTAGTAAGAGTATAATGGTATTTCATTGTACTATGGTATTTCATTTGCATCTCTATAATTACTAATGCTGATGAGCATCTTTTCATGTGTTTAATAGGCAGTTGAATGTCCTATTTAATGAAATGTCTTTTCAAGTCCTCTGATCATTTTATGATTTGAGTTGTCTTTTTGTTGTTGAGTTGTTATATATATATATGTGTGTATTTGGTTATTAGATTCGGATATATAGTTTCCAAAGATATTCTTCCAGTCAGGAGTTTATCTTTTCACTGGTAAAGTCATTTGATGAACAAACATTTTTAATTTTTGAGTTCCCATTTACTTTTTTTTGTCTTTTGTTGTTTGTGCGTTTGTTACTATATTAGATAATCCATTACTGGAGACTGGGCCAGACAGCATTGCCCCTGCTTGTTCTTCTAAGAATTTCTTGGTTTCAGTGAGCAAATTTAGGTCCTGAATTCATTTTAAATTTGTTTTTGTGTATGGTGTGAAGCAAAGGACTTGCTTCACTTTTCTGCATGTGGAAATCCAATTTCCCCAGTTCTATTTATTTGGGAGACTCTTCTTTCTCTGTTGAGTGGACTTAGCACCTTTGCCCAAAATCAGCTGATTATAGATGCATGGGTTTATTTCTGGACTTTCAATTCTATTCCATTGATCTATGCACCTGTTGGTATGCCAGTATATGTTTGGATTACTGTAGCCATATAGTATGTTTCTAAATCAGAAGTGTGAATCTTCCTAATTAGTTTTTATCTTTTATCTTTGCTTTAGCTATTCGGCACCTCTTCTTTCCATGCAAATTCAGGACTTGTTATTCTATAAAGAAGGTGGTGGGAATTTTGATCAAAATTGCATTGAATCAATAGGTGCTTCGGGTAGTATTGGCATCTTAACAATCTTATGTCTTTCAATCCATAAATATGGAATGTCTCTCTATTTACTTGTTTTCTTTCATCTCTTTCAGTAATGTCATATAGTTTTCATTATATAAGTCCTTTGCATCCCTGATTAGATTTATTCCTAGACATTTGATTCTCTTAGATGCTACTGTAAATGGAATTGTCTCCCTGATATACTTTTCAGATTGCCGGTGTATAGAAACACAACTGAATTTTGTTTGTTGACATTGTACCCTGCAACTTTGCTAAAGCCCACTGTTAGCTCTTGAAGTTTTCTTGTGGATTCTTTGGAATTTTCAAGCCTGATTTAATGTGGCAAAGCCCAATGCCATTGAGTCCATTTCAACTCATAGTAACCTTATAAGCTCTTCTGAGACTGCAAATCTTTACAGGAGCAGATTGCCTCATCTTTTTCCCATAGAGCAGCAGGTGGGGTTGAACAGCTGACCTTGTAGTTAGCAGCCCAATGATAAGCTCACTGTGCCTTCTGAGTGGCTCTTTGGTATGACTATGAGTGATCTGGTGCCAAGGAAAGGCCCTAAAATACCACTAGACTCGTGCTGGGTACTAGACCAAGTCTATTGTTGGCAGTGTTTAGTATCCAACACATTTATTGAACATAGCTCTGAACGATGCTGAAGTCATGTGTGACTGGGGACACACATTATCTCTGTCCTCTTGCTAGTGGGTTACGGAGGGCAATGGGAAAACAAGAGAGCAATGGAGGAGGCAGTGGAGCCCCTGCCATCAAGACTGCCACAACGATGCAGATAATGGGTTCCTGACATCCACCTTGGACAAAAGTACCAATGATCTGCAGTTCATGCCAAGTGTTTGCTAATATTAGGCCATCCCAACCCCTCCATTTCCAAATGGCTCCAATCTGTTTCCTCTGCCATCTTACGGCTCTCCCCAGAAATGTCTGAGGAAGAGCCCACGCCCTGCAGCTGTGCCTTTGATCTTAGTTCTGGGGTAGCTAAGTAGGTGGAATGGGAAGAATATTGCTTTGCAGGCCAGTCCACACTTTGGTGCAGTTGGCCAGGCTTACACAGCTCTGTGTGGGGTCTTCATAAGACAAACAACAGCACCTACCAGCTAGGGCCTTATCCTCCCACAACTGAGCTTATTTAGTCAAGACAATAAAATAGTCTCTAGCTGAGCTATAGCAGTAGTTGCCTGATGCAGCACTCGGCTGCCAGTGGAGAAGCTGTTTGTCTTCACTGAGGTAAGCCCAGCATGTCCTACTATGCAGTATCTTCATGTGCCCGTTTCCTGTCAAATGCACCCCTGTGCCCCCAAACCCCACAAATAGTTGTGTGAGGTGAGGAATGTCTGCTCCTCACACCTGTCAGAGC